ATGACCAGCAGGATGGCGTGGGGCCCCGGGGCCGACATGTTGATGCATTTGGAGATCTCTCTCTTCACGGTGTGTTCAGCCTCAGAAGTGTCAAATGTGAGGGAAATTCTCCTCTCTGAACAAGTGATGGACTCGGTGTGAGGAATCGAGGTTCTTTATTACATGCAGCATGGAGAGAAGAGCAGAGTTCTCTGACAACCTTGAGAATGTGCAGACCTTTATACTAATCCAAAGCTCTAAACCCAGGTTACACCCACCAACTGCACTCATAAAGGAGATTGCCCCCCCTAATAAAAGGTTTAGCATAACAGGAAACTTCCCCCTAAGAACTGTATGGTCATGACCTCACAGTGTGAAGAATTGCCCCCCAGTACAGATTCCTAAATAATTCCCACATTCCCTCCTCTTGACACAAAGTGTCAACACATTATAATAGGAATTACCTTAGATCTTCAGAAAATCAAAAATGTTACACAAAAGTTTCAAACTGAACTCACAATTGTTTTAAGAATATCAAAACTATACAACAAAAACACTAAAACACAATTTGCAAACTAAAAAACATGATTATACCATTTCATTCTCTGAACAATGAAAGGGTTTCCTGGGGCTCATTTTGACATTAAGTAGACATTCTGTTCATTATCAGTGGTTTGCTCAAGAGGTATTTTAACATACAATGTTTTTTCTCCTCCCACTATTCCACCTATCGCTCTATCCATAGAGCGATACCAAAAACATTCAGAACAGGGATCAGGACCTGAATGATCAGAGTACCCCAGGGGCCAACGTGGTTATTTAACCATTTGTTGAAGCTAAAACCTGCTGATTCAGAGGGACCAAATGCATTGCGAATTTTGTCAAGTGCTGTGATCACATTGGTAATGTTATCTGAATTATCCGGAATGATCGTCACACATGCCTCTCCTGTTAAATTTATGTCATGCATAAACCTCCAGTTTTTGCTAAAACATAATCAAGAGCCATCTCATGTTGTATTAGAGTTAATCTGTGTGACTTATCATTTGCAGCTAAGGACTGAAAACCTTTTATTGTTTCATTTGCAAAAGCAGACATTGAATACGTAATGTTATCTACCTGATCAGCCACGAACGCAATCATTTTGTCCACTCAACTGTCTTTTGTTTCTGATCACTTGTTCTTTCATAACGGCTCTGCACAAGTGTACTGCCATGCATTGGCTGCCATGGTGTAACGTTTACCATTGAAAGTGAAAGCAAACCAAAACTGTGAGTCAGGATGAACAGGAATACTAAAATATGCATTTACCAAATCAATGACAGAAAACCAACGGGAGTCTGCTGGCACCTGTGAAAGCAGTGTTGCTACATTTGGGACAGTGGGGGCTGGGTGTTGCAAAGCCTCATTTATTGCCCTGAGGTCTTTGACTGGTCTCCAATCACCATTTGGTTTCTTTACAGGTAGGATGAGGGTGTTACATGATGAATTAGGACATTCCACAATGGCATCTGATTTATGAGTGACTGAATGACAGGAGCAATGCTTTGAATAGCCTCTGGGCTAAGAAGATAATGTATTTTACATGGTCTAACAGTTGATTTTAGCTGAACAATAACAGAGAAGTCTCCTGTATATTCCCAAAATCAAACTTGATTCCAGTGCACAAGTTATCAGGCATTGTTGATATTATTGCCTCCCCTTCAACAGTCAATAACATAAATGTAATTGTGTGTGTGTGTGTGTGTGTGTGTGTGTGTGTTGCTCTATGCTCTGACCTGCCTCCACTGTCTCCTATGGCTCCTATCAATGGTAATCCTGGAGAATGACCAGAGAGCCCCTGAGGTGGTGCATATGGCCAGGAGTCCCCCTGATCTTGTCTCAGTCCAAGAAGTGGCACCATCACTTGAAATATGCCCAAAGCTTTCACATCTGTAGCACCTCAAGTTGTGTCCATCAGTGCTGCTGTACGTTTCTTGGTGTGCACTGCATCATACAACCTGTCCATCGTGGTGAAATCCTTTGATCCAACTGCTGGGCTGGTGGACCAGTTGGCAGGGTGAACGTTGGCCCATCGGAGCTTGAAACATCTGGGACAGACCCAATAATTGTTGCATGGCTGTGACCCATTTCTCACCTCCAGTCTTTTGTGGATCAGACAACTCCTCTGCAACCTCCTTCAGTTCATCTGGCTGCCATGGCCTGTACAAAAGCACTCTGGATCCCAGTGGCTGTGTGCTTGGTCCCCTGTTGGTCGTGGCTGGGGGTTGGGAAAGACCATCATGGGCATTTGGTGAACACCCCCTTTGTCCCCTTGGCTCCACAGCCAATAGTCGAAAGATGGTGCTAGTGGAGAAGCACTTTCTGGAAGGAGTAAGGTTAGGTTTTGCTTCCTTGGGGGTCAGATGGAGAGCAGAAAGGTCAGGGTACAACGATGCCTCTTCCCCCTCCCTTTCAGAGTCTTTTTCAAGTTGCTCAGCATCAGGGCCATGTGCCTCTTGGGGAGGGGGGGCTGCAGCAGGGGAGACAGCATATGGAGGAGGTAGAGCCCTCTCTCTTGCCCTATGTTTCTGTTTTTCTTTCCTTTAACACTTTCTCTCATCTTTCATTTCTTGCTTTAACATCAAACCTGGATTTAGATTCCCTCACTTCAGCTTCTCTTTAGGAACTTTAGGAAAGCTTGCCAATTCATCCTTCTTCTTCTTCTTCTTCTTCTTCTTCTTCTTCTTCTTCTTCTTCCCTACTTTCTTTCCCCTCTCATTTTCCTATAACCATGCTCTGCACCTTCCTAAACACTCTGTAGTCAATGTACCTATCAGTGGAAATACCCCTTGGGTGATATGGTGCCAAAGTGGAACATCCTCAAACACATTTTTTCCCCATTTATCTACCATTAATTTAGCAGGACCTGAGAGTGGGTCAGGTAAAGATTTTAGTTTCCCCCCTTTGTTCCCCATGTTTGAACTGACTCACAAGGACAGATGTGCTCACACCTCCAGTGGGCTTATCATTCACACACAATTCACAATCACACTGATCTTCCTGTTATAAAAATTATGATCATGCTGTGTATGTACGCTGTGTACCGGTCAGTAGGATACTGTTTCTGTTTTGTACTTAAACACCACAACGTCAGCAGATTCATCAGCTCTGTATCTGTAAGGGAGGACAGGGAGGCTCGGATCGGAGACAAGTCAAGGACAGGCCATTTTGGATGGCCAGACAGGCAGGGTATTGTTCCAACAGAGGGGCCGAAGATGATTGTGATGTTATCTACAAGTGTGTACTTGATAGAAACATCCGAGCTTCCCCGCCCACTTGTGCTGTATAATAGCTGATAGCAAACACTCCTTCAGGGAGCCTTTTCTCTGTAACCTCATCTTGTGTGTTGCACTGTGAAATGCTCCTCTTGTACAAGATAATAAACTCTGTTAAACTTTGATATTTCGGTTCCGGTCTCTATTTGCTTTTAAGGTCATTACAAATAAATTCTTATGACACTTCCCATACACATATGGTGTGATCTTATCAGGCATACACTACCTTTGAGCAACTTATTCAGCCAGGTGGGTTGTATGACACATTCGTTCCAAGCAATGCACCCTTGTAGTACACATGTATACTAGACACTGAATGAGCCACCGCAAAGTTTATATATAATTATTTTTACATTAATTCATACATTTGCCCATTTTACTATGGTGCACTATAATGTAGGCCTACTCATA